ATGATCAACACAAAAATAATTTGCATAGTTATTAGTGGTCTTTTGCTCATAAACTCAAGATATTATGCAAACTTATTTCTATGGAAATGAAACACTAATTACAAATGATGAAATAAATTATAATTATTTATATGTCTTTTGAGAGTCAGTTTCGTTTTCTAAAGTCACACTCATCCATATTCAAGTCATATGATCATGGTCCAAACATAATCAAGCCTGGTCCAGACAAACCTGTGGTTGATACACAATTATGACACACATCAACCAAATCACTGTTCTTTCAGTCTGTAAATAATCGGGTGGTCTAGAAATCCGGTCATTGACATCATGACCATCAATCTACGCAATTGGGATACAATGACATGCATCAACCAAGTCAGCAAGACTGACCACCCGATCCCGTTAGTTGCCTCTCACAACAAGCATAGTTGCTTCTTTTGGCCATTAAGCATTGGTTTCTGAAGACCTATCCTTACCAGTGCCCAGTTGCACAAAACGATCTTAGCGCTGGGACTATCATAAGTCTATCTTAAAGTATGGGAGTTAAGATCATCGTAGCGCTAAGATCACTTTGTGCAAGTGGGCCCAGATCTTCACGGGTCCCACGGTGCTTGACCATACAATCCTTAAAGTCACTACCAGGGGTAGAAACTAACATTTTTAGTCCACTAGTCCTTATAATGATAACATAAAGCCAAACCCTTATAAAATGCCAATTTCTACTAGTCCTTATGATACCTTAACTTTTGGGCAGTTTGGCAAGGACTACAGGACCCCGTTCCACAAAGTGATCTTAGCGCGACGATGATCGTAAGCCTATGTTTAAGTATGGTAGTTACGATCACCTTAGCGCTAAGTTCGCTTTGTGGAACGGGGCCCAGGACTACAGGCATAGTGCCAATTTCTAACGTTGACTACAAGCATATCATATATTGCGTTAGGTTTGGGTTGAATATTTCTGAAGTATTCTAAAAACACACACAGATGGCACTACCTTATAGTAACAAGAAAGGAATCTATGACACACACAAGAGCTCTGGTATCTACGTACAATCTAACAACAGCAATGTACAGGCTATTGGGGAGACCTGTACAAGGTACATGCGAGCCATGAGTCCCTCCACATGCTATACATCACACAGATAACGCCATATATCACGCTGAAATTCTTTGTTGTGATATTATAGGTCTATACATAGACGGTCGCAACATGTGATATACCCAGTCGTATTGGACCTCATGTGTAGAGTTATTTATTATACATCATAAAGATCTTCCTCCAAACACTATGATGTCATAACAATTGCCTTGTGTATAGACGTATTGCATAGGCGTATTGCATTTGGTCTTAGATGTAGGATTAGTGAACTGTTAACTTGTTTTCTTCTAACAGATTCATGTAACATCAACATTATCAACATGAACATCATCCTTATCAAAAGGAACGACTGCAAAAGACATTACTTTAACTTTGCTAAAAAATGTCATTAAAAAAACAAAAAAAGGTCGTTATCCATAAACAGTTTCACACCTTCACATTCTTCTAAATGCATATCATTACTTTTACATTTTATACATCTCATCTGAATTTTTCTTAAAACATGCTCCTTCACCAACCAAACTGTGACAACAGATGCAGATAAACCACACTATTTTCCATTTGGCCAAAAGCCAAATGCCTGAACCCACCTCTTGTATTTGCAGATCATATTCATAAGTACAATTTTTATAATGCTGTTAGGATCCATAATCATATCAGGTTCATTAAACTGTAATAAGGTGTGAATTCTCCTATATAGTAAACTGACTGTCAACATCGATAACTATATACCTCATGGGACAGCTGTTGGTGTATTGACAGATCCATAATATTGGACATACATCTATAGACAGACTACAAATAATAATGTAACGATGATGATGATCATGTGAGGTGAGGTGAGGTGAGGTGAGGTGAGGTGAAATTGGGCTTAACGTCACGTCCATTTTGTGTGTGCGTGTGCGCGTGCGTGTGTTTTCTTGTACGAGTCCGGACTAATGCCGATATATTTATAGGGCTAGCTCACTAAGATACATGCCGCAATTTAACATGGATACCCCACTCAGACACAGTATACTGACTCAGAGCCGACCAGTCCTTGTTTTAGCCCCTTAATGACGAGCGCCAGATAGGTTTTAGTATGACGCGGCTGGGGATCGAACCCAGGACCTTCCGTTCTCCGGGGGGACGCTCTACCAATAGACCATAGAGACGATGATGAATGATGATAATGACGATGATGGTGATGACGACGATGATGATGGTGATGATGCTAATGCTAATGCTAATAGGGCTGATAATGATCATGAAGATGGTCATACAAATAACACATCGTATTCATCAGAAGAAGATGAGAGAACAACATTGTTATTTTAGTTTCAACAAAATGTTAAAGTTCATTCCGTCAAGTTTACTTTTCAAATCTAGCCTACATATCTTCTGTGCAAGAAACCCTGGTTGGGCTGCAGAAAATCAATAAATGCATGGACTTTAAATGTCAACATGAAACGTAGTACTGTGCTATCTCAGGTTCTGCAGAGGGAATATACACGATAAACATATTTACCATATCCTCATATTAACAGTTCAACATTATACAGAGGAACGCCCCGAACACCCAATTTAGGACGTACAGCCACTAGATACTGGTAACAAATTAAACAACATTTTTTAATGTCCCTTCCTGTAAACTCATTAATCCAGACATAGTATATTGAAAGTAAACTGTTCAAATTCAAGGGGGTCTGCTAAAAGCATTTAGTGTGTGTGAGCAGTTTTTAACAGTTTTTCAGCAAATCACTGCGTGTCAGCTTGATGTAGGAGGAAAGCCCGAAGTGATGCAGGTCTTAGATGTTTACCACTTCGGTGAAACCCAGGAGCAGGGGTATGGTGCTGACAAACCAAGGATCTTAATACCAGCAAATCTGGGATTCGAACCCACTGTCACTGGATACAGGAAGCAGAGGGCAGCAACTCTGCATGGAAACTTTTTGCTGCCTAAGACTGAGCCAATGTTTTCAATATGAACTAATATTTGCCAAAATGTGATATGGATTAATGAAGGATTGTCAAAGCAATTCTATGTTTTTCTTGCCAAGAATCAAAGCTAAGGACTCAGTTGATGTTCATTTGACTAAAACATATGCACGTAAAAAAACATAATTATTCCTGTTTAGTGGGTTTCTATGTTCTGTTCACCTGACCAGTGTCCATATATTAGTGGTGGGATGATACATGGATGCATCGGTGGATCGCGATTTTTTACTGCTCGATACAAGTATCAATCACAGTGGCACACTAAGTAAAAAATATTCATACATACCATATTTTCTTGAGTATAGTGCGCACCCATGTATAATGCGCACCCCCCTCTCGCGGGTTCAATATTTTGGAAAAAAAGAAATTTGAATATTATGCGCAGAAAAAAATTACACCGTACCCCTTCAGCGAAGTCCGGCAAACGTCAGTACAAATTCGTAATTGGAGATAAAAAATCACCAGACATGTTGATTTACCGTTTAAATTGTATTATTTGTTCAGCTAGGCATTGTTTTATATCCAGGGATTAAGATTACCTTGTGTATTTTCTCGTAAACTAAGCCGGACACAGCAATCAGCTGTACACACGTTTACACACAAAAAAGTGCGCACTATGCTCAAGAAAATACGGTACCTTAATTGTTTTCTGTTATAACTGTTACACCAAACACTAATGAGTAGTAAAAATAATAGTGAAAAACGTAAATATGTTCATCCATTGCACCATACTTGACACTGCCAACTGTAAATTGCCTAATACTGCATCACGAATTACATATATAGAAATATATATTGCTGTCTAAAATGAAACAAATTACTTCTCTTGAAATGATAAAATTGATGATATCAATATACTGAATTCATGCGCGGATGTTTAATATGGTTGCTACCTAAAACATGGCTATTTTTTTTAGTTGCCTAACAACTCTATGAGACCTGCAATTCTGTTTACAGCGATGATGTTTATGGGAATGTTTACTGTTCAGTCAGTCAGCGTAAATTACATGAAATGCGTTGCAATAGCTATTTCAATACAGGCAGGCTGAGGCAACAGTGCAGCCACAGAGGGGGATGGATACCTCCACAAGTGATGTTCTATTCTTACTGCGTTGATGTACCAATATTTATCAACCTTTGCCTCAGTAAATCGGTCTACAGCAGTTTGACTCAGTGCCAACTTGCAACATCTGTTACAACAAATACTCCACCGCCGTACACAAACCCATTCAATTTCTAGTGGGCCAACATTTTTCAAGATGCTCAAGACGAAAATGGCATTCTAAAAAATGTTTATTTGGATGCAAGGCTATTATGAGTTTATACCATCCCTTCGGGAATTTCAAATTAAAAATTGGGTTGGGTTCAATTGAATTCCTGGTTTGAAACGCTTCTTAGATTCTAAACATAATATTGTCATTTCCTCCACAAGAAAGGTAACATAAATGGATGAAAATTATATGAAATCGTGACACCCAAATTTTACAGTCATAACATTTTGTAATTTTTTAATGTTTCACAAAAACTTGATATGATTATGCGGCTGTTATTATGACAACAGGGTGATGATACAACATAGGAAACAGCAAGATGGGGACTGTAAAATTCACATATCAACTCTTCCATTACTGCTACATTACCTCCCTAGCTCCCATATTAAAACGTATGCAATTTTTCTTCAGGCTACCACTGTGTCAATTTATAACAGTGAACACGTTCAAGTGACAGGTCAACACACAATATGACACACGGTCCAACACCTACCTCCTAAGCGTGGGAAACGCTGTGTCCTATTCACTATTCCTTTCCACAAAAACAATCTCCGCTACCGTCTCCCAACTGAACTTGAATACATATGATCATAAAAAAGCTCAAGGAAAAATAAATTACAGCCTGCTACATATTCAGTACCCCTGCTACTTACCACCACTGTAGCAGTCTAACAGCACATCTGTTTCATCAACAGCAGACGACACAAAACTGTATGCATCAAATTCACTGGCTATTCCATATCAAAATCTATAGTAAATCCACACAAGCCATCAATGGACACGTCTGTCGACAAAATCCACCACAGGGGCAGACGTAAACTTGCCGTCTGCTCGTTTCACGTCTGCTCTAGAGTTCACGTCTGCTCGAATGTAAATCCTCCACATGGGTAAAGACACACCAGCTTTCCTTCCGTCACACACGTCACAAGAGGCGATAGCAGGGTTGTGTCATCCCTTTCCTATCAGAGCGTCACAGGCTGCTTCACCGAGCTTGTGCATACATAATACTTGATGACCATGGCCACAGAATGTCTTGACCTCCTCCCCAGTTCACGTGGGTGGCAAACCGGGGCAGCTCAGATCCATTATCTAGTAGAAGTGATAAGCCAGGCTAGGAAATGCTTGTGGGCCATGGCGGTTGCCTAACAGTTTAATATACTTCCTTCATGTGTTCTAACATTTTTGTTGTGGTCTCAGCCCGGGTTGTAAAAGATAACCTAGCCACTTGATCTCATAGCAACAGGGGACATGAATTTGTGTTCATCTCAGTTGCTGGGATTCTGCATCAGGCAAATATATTCATACACAGACAACTACTGAACGTCCTGGTTAGAGGTGTCATGCCCTGTTAAAACGTGTGAAACCAGGGTATCAATTGCAGCCTGAAGCATCTTGCTGTGAAGGAATTATTCAAGCATTTTTTTATTGTTACTTGCTATCATTGCCTATGTAAGTTTTGCAAAGTAAACTTGAATATCTATTGCACATGTGTTAACATTTGGTTAACAAGTGTACATGTGTACATAAGATATATCGTTATCTTTCAATCATCAAAAATAAATAAAATCTTAGAGCATAAATTTATTAAATCAGATTTTGCATGTTATAACATCACTTTTCTGCAATCTTGCCAAACTACACCAAATCTCAGGGTACAAATTGTTTAAGCAGATTTTGCATGTAAAAATGTGGTTGCTTTTTCGCACTAACACCCGCCCCCAAACCTCTCCCCAAGAAAATATTCACCAAATTTCATTTTATTTATTTTAAATTTTTGTTAATATTATATAAATGGTGTACAATAAATTAGAATATTTCATCGCACGTCTAATTTCTGCATGCATATAACTCCATCAACATCGGGCACAAAAATCTCCAGAACAAAGTCAGGTATGCTGTCTGTATTACCTTCCTATCAATCATGCACGCAGCACGCAGCACGCAGCACGCAGCACGCGGTGTACATTTCAGTACCGTGTGTCTTATCTAATACATTTCAATCAATCAGTCAGTCCATATTTGTCTTGAAAATATTTGTGACAGTTTCATCTTTCCCTTCATCATTAGCAATGCACCTTCCAATTCAGTGAAAACAGTCCTATGTTTGCTGTTTTGAGATTTATTTACATGTTTCTCAAACCATTTGCCTCATTCTTTGGTCCAAGCTTGGCACATGTGAATAACTTGTTCAAAGTTTGCCTATTTTCTGAGAGAACGTTGTGACAACATCAACAGACAGCAGTTTATATGAGGTGAAGCAGCAGGTGAGGACAGATGTTCACATTCATTCCCTCCACCGGCTCCTACAAGTTAGCAGATACAACAGACTGTAGATCACATCCCTGAAAACTGGCAAAATACATAACATCGTAATTCATCATGTGAGTGAGGGGAAACAGGGCTTAACATTAGCACTCCACATTATTGCACTTAGATAGCTAGCTGTGTGCATGTGTGCGTGTGTGCGTGTGTGTGTGTGTGTGTGCCTTTGATTTTGTGAGTGTCTGTGTGTATGAGTTCCTGTGAGTGTGCCTTTGATTTTGTGAGTGTCTCTGTGTGAGTGTCTGTGTGTTTGTCTGAGTGTGTCTGTGATTTTGTGTGTGTTGTGAGTGTTGTGTGTGTTGTGAGTGTTGTGTGTGTCTGTGTGTCTGAGTGTGTGTCTGTGATTTTGTGAGTGTCTGAGTGTGTTGTTGTGTGTGTGTGTGTGCCTTTGATTTTGTGAGTGTCTGTGTGTATGAGTGTCTGTGAGTGTGTCTTTGATTTTGTGAGTGTCTCTCTGTGTGTCTGTGAGTGTTGTGAGTGTTGTGAGTGTTGTGTGTGTCTGTGTGTCTCAGTGTGTGTCTGTGATATTGTGAGTGTCTGAGTGTGTTGTTGTCTCTGTGTGTGTGTGTGTGTGTGTGAGCCTTTGATTTTGTGAGTGTCTATGTGTATGAGTGTCTGTGAGTGTGTCTTTGATTTTGAGAGTGTCTCTGTGTGTGTCTGTGTGTGTCTGTGAGTGTTGTGAGTGTTGTGTGTCTGTGCGTCTCAGTGTGTGTCTGTGATATTGTGAGTCTGAGTGTGTTGTTGTCTGTGTGTGTGTGTGTGTGTGTGTGCCTTTGATTTTGTGAGTGTCTGTGTGTATGAGTGTCTGTGAGTGTGTCTTTGATTTTGTGAGTGTCTCTGTGTGTGTGTCTGAGTGTCTGCAATTTTGTGAGTGTGTTGTTGTGTGTGTGTGTGTGTGTGTGTGTGTGTGTGTGTGTGTGTGTGTGTGTGTGTGTGTGTGTGTGTGTGTGTGTGTGTGCCTTTGATTTTGTGAGTGTCTGTGTGTATGAGTGTCTGTGAGTGTGTCTTTGATTTTGTGAGTGTCTCTGTGTGTGTGTCTGAGTGTCTGCAATTTTGTGAGTGTGTTGTTGTGTGTGTGTGTGTGTGTGTGTGTGTGTGTGTGTGTGTGTGTGTGTGTGTGTGTGTGTGTGTGTGTGTGTGTTGCTTTTACTAGTCCAGACTATACTATCAGAGTGCTAGTTAGCCCACTGAGATACCGTGCCTCAGTTTAACATGAATACCCATTTAGACACAATCTACAGAATCTGACCCAATCAGTCCTTGTTTTATCCCCTTAACACCCAGCACTAGGCAGGGAAGCAACAAGTACCATATTTAACATCTTTTGGTATGACCACGGACCTTCAGCTATCCAGGCCGACGCTCTATCCACTAGACCATGGAGATGGCCTGATTCATTGTGTAGACTAGGCAGCTATTATTAAATGCCGACAGTTACCATTCGTCTTTAGTCATTTTCTACTTCAAGATCTTATCATCCAAAACGAAATAACTTCTATCGTGAACATCATCACTCCTTAATCACTTGGGCAATTTGGAAGAAAGTTTTTTCTGCTTCATTTGACACAGTAATGATCTCAGATTAAAATGACTTTTGTGAAGGATGCGGGAAAGGAATCGTGACTATTTCATTTATAGTTTGCTGATGGGCCCATGAACTGATCAAATTTTACAAATGGTGAGAAGATGCTGGCAAGATCAAGTCAAAATGAGTGAGTGAGTGAGTGAGTGAGTGAGTGAGTGAGTGAGTGAGTGAGTGAGTGAGAACAAACTTCCCACACTGTACTCATGTGGGGAATCAAACTTCAGGCCGACAACCAGCTTTTCAACCTCTTCAACCACTAAAATTCAAGAAAATCTCAATTCAAATGTCTCAATTATGAAGAACAGGTCTCCTCTAACACAATTAAAGCTTCACCATTTCAGCAGAATCAGACCAGGTAACTCCTGCAGACCCTGTGGAGCTAGACGCCTGATAATCAGGCTTTTAGCAGGTTAGAACGGCCTCCAAACAACAAGCCTATCGCTTACACTCCAGATAAGAAGGCTCTGTGGGTTGTCATCCTGTTGGCACAGAGCTTCATCCACAGTTTGAAGCTTCTTCAACAGAATTCTCTGATTTTTCTAGCACCAATTCCTGACTTCATGCCAGCCTCCTCCATATCAGAGCTGTTGTAAACAGTGTCAGCTCCCTGGCAGGACCTGGAGGTCAGCATCCCACCTGCTGATAGATCAAGTCAGATGCACCAATCTGACATTTTGGTGGATTTGGCGAACCATATTTTGACAACCTTTGTGTTCAGGACCAATGATCTGTGGTATAGATGTTGCTCACAATATCATCACTGGATTGTCTGGCCAATCACTTCTTTACAGGCAGTCATCTTATTGCTAGAATACTGCTGAGTCCAGCACAACCCTTCAATCCAAACCCTACCAGGTTTCCCTGCTATTTCCACTCAAACCTAAACCTCCACCCCAACAAATGCCCCAAGGTTACTCTCAAATCACACACCTCCAATTAGCACCTGGCTTAAGGCTGGCAAATCAAAGTGGAAGGTAGGCAGCCACAAATTTGCCACTTAATCAGTGCCTCTTATCTGATTACCACTGAACCAGTTAACAATTATCACTCATCCAGAAACACAGGCACATACCTTGACTCTTAATTGAATAACCTTGAACTAATAAATTACAGCAACAAGTTCCACACAATAGCATTCTCGGCTCACCCATTTCCTTTACAGTTTGTCAGTCATTCCATCAAGCTGATAGTGCTCGACTGTTGCACGGCGCGAGATAAGACACGTCACAGAACACAGGATATGATTCCATTCTGTTTTACCTCCTGCACCAGGTGCAACCAAGTAAATTAATCAGGTTGCACCACCAAAATATTGGCTGCACTGGTTCATCTTAAATTGAAACACTGTATTTTCAGTTCTTTTGAATTTGAAATAAATTCAAAGAGAATATAAACTTGAGAATGTGCTCCAGTATTTTATGTTTGGTAAATCTGTATATGGCTTTTCATATCCAGTAAACAACCTTAAAAAGAAGTTTTAAAGTGTCTGACGTGATTGAGTGACTGTTCTACAGGTAATTAGGAGGAATTAGTTCTGCAAGTTCACTGCATTCAGACAACTTGTGTATTTCACTAATTTCATGACCTTTGGATTCCTGGAATCGAAAAGATTTGGCGCCAGTTCTACAAGAATTCATTTTTCCATTTTTATCATATATAACTGCTGCCGTGCACTTGCGGTGGAAATTTTACCTGCACTGGGTGCATCCTGGCCTTAAAAGTTACCTGCACTTGCAATGTTTTACCTGCACTGGTGCAGCTTGGATATAGCGAAACGGATCCCTGGAATATATTATTGCATCAGCACATTTTGAAATACATGTTTGGATAAAACTGCATGTTTTTTTAATTTTTGTTGTATGCTGAATAAGCAATATTCCAGTTAATGTATCAAACTAAACCTTTGCGACAGCCAGAAAAACAGTGGATGATATCATGAGCAACATCCAACATTATCAGGGTACAATGACTTGCAACCAGCCATGTCACTAAGTCTGACCACCTGACCAGATAGTCTCCTCTTATGACAAGCGTAATAGAGCACTGGTGATTTTTTCTTACCCAGATTATACCCCCCAAAAGGCAAGTAAATCTACAATACTTGAGTAAGTCTAGATTTCATCAGATTCTGAAAATGAAGAGCTCCCTTCAACTATGTGTATTATATATTAAAATACAA